GGATCTTGTTTATTACCGGTCTCCTGCCCCTCCCTATTCACTAGAACATAGCCAGAGGGCAACAGTCTAGGCCTGTCTGGCTCACCACACATCTAGATGTCCAGAGCAGTGCCAGGCACAAAGTAGGTGCTCAGTGCATGCACAGTGACCTTAGCCAGTGTGGTACCCTGAGGTGGGGGCTGAACAGGAGCCACTGGGGAGGTGGTATTGGCCAGTCCCACCCCACCCCCACCCTCTCTCTCTCGGGATTCCAGGGGTGGGGTAGGGTGGGGGCGCACCTGAAGGGGTATTCGAAGTCAACCTCGATGCTGAGATCACTCTCGGACTTGTTGGCACACTCTACGCTCAGCCGGAGCTTCCCGGTGTAACTGCCGCATGTAGCAAAGGCGAAGATGGCAAAGACCTTGGGCAGCAGGGATGGAGATGGCCATGGTTATCCTGTGTACACGTGGGATAGGGATGCCCTCCTCTGGACAGATCAGGGCCCAGCACAAGCAGCACCAGATGGACCAGTCTCCATCCCCACCCCCACCCCTTAATCAGGGCTCATCGGCTCCAAGGACAAGCTGATTACAGGGGTGTGGCCATCTCTTCCGTCTTTTTCTCAATGTCTCTCTCAGTCTCTACCTCTCCGTGCCCTGACCCCCCCCCTTCTGTTTCAGTCTATTTCTGTGTCTCTCTGTGTATTTCTGCCTGTCTCTTGTTCTCTATGTCTCTAGTTCTCTTGGTATCTGTCTGTTTCTCTTTCTCAGATGTCTCTGTATCTCTGTTTCTCTCTCTGCCTCTGACTTTCTAGCATCAATGTGTGTCTTTTTATGTCTCTTTTTTCTCTATCTCTGTGTAAATGTATGTCTCTCTCTATGTGTCTTTATGTCCTTGGTCTGTTTGTCTCTATCTTCCTGTTCCGTCTCTGACTTGGTCTCGGTATCATGCTCTCTCTGTCTCCCTTGTGGTATCTCTCTCTTTTCAGTTCCTCCTCTTCTCTTTCCTCTGAGTATCTCTTTTTCTCTGTTTCTATCTCTCCCCCATTCCATTTTTCTGCCACTTTCCCTGTGTCTATTTCTCTTTGCATCTCTGTCTCCCTTTTCTTTGTCTCTTTCCGTTTGTCTCCACTTTCTCTCATCTCTGTATCTTTTTTTTTTTCTTGGTATTTCCACCTCTGTCTCCATCATTTCCTGCCTCTCATTCTCTTTCACTGTCCCTGGATTTCTCTGGCTTTGCATCTTTTCTGCAGCAACCAGCTTCAGGCTCCACCTCCCCTGCCCCTCTCTCACCTCAAGGGAGGAGGTAGGACGTCACATTCTTCCACTTTACAACGGGGGTACCCTTGGTCTTACATGACGTCACATCACAGCCCATTGATTCTCTAGCCCCAACCCCTTGGGACTTCACCCTGGAGCCCAATTCTTTTGTCCTCTTCCACTCCCCACCTACTCATCCATTCTGTGCTCACCACCCCTACTCCACCCTTGCTCTTCCAGACCCCATCACCTCCTTCTTTCTCCTCATGGCCCAGTCCACACTCACCCATTGCAGCACCTTCACGAAGCCAAGGGGCTCCTTGACCACTCGGAACTGACCCCCGGCCACCAGCTGAGGAGAGAAACGGTGGGGAGGGGGTGGGGTTGTTGGGCATGGAGAGGGAGGTGAGGGGCAAGGCCACCAGGCAATGACCCTTGGGGATAGGGCATGTGACCTCCAGGAGGGAGTGATGTTCGGAGAGGGAGTGAGAAGGAGAAAGTGACACTTAAGGGAAGGTTTGAGCACAGGGTCTCTGAGAGAAGACCCCTGGGGTTCAGGACTGGTGGGGGGGGCGGTTAGGGGAGATAGTGAGGTAGGTTGCAGAGGGTTGTCAGGGTGAGGAAGATGGGGATGGGGTCAGGACTAACTGGGGAAGGGGAAAAGGTCTGAAACGGTAAAGATGAGTCAGATGGCGAAGAGGATCAGGTGGAGAGAGTGAGGAAGGAGTTGGGGTTCATTATGGTGGGGGATGGGGTCTTGGATGGTGAAGGTGAGTCATAACAGGGAGGGAATCAGGTTGGCTAGGGTGGGGGAGGGGTCTGCAGTGGTAAAGGTGAGTCAGATGGTGGTTGGGGGGTCTGAAGTGATGAAGATGGGGAGGGGTTGGTACTGGTTAGAGAGGGGGTGAGGTTCTGAGGTGGTGAAGAAGAGTGAGATGGCAGAGAGGGTCCCGGCTGATTAAGGGGGGGGAGGGCTGGGACATGGCTTCACTGGATATGTGCTGGGGGAGGGGAGAGTAGGAGCTTTGGAGAGGCAAAATTGGATCGTCCCCCTTGGTCTGTTCTGGGAGAAAGGGTGGTCATTCACTGGGGTACCTTCTCTGGGAGGGGCAGGTGTCAGCTCCCCCCCCCAACCCCCGCCCCAACGCCTTCTGTCGCTCTATTTCCTAGCTTATCTACAGCAACCCCCATCTTCTTCCACTCCTCCTCCCCTCGCCCCTCTCCGCCCCTACCCTAGCCCCAAGACCCCTCTTCCTCTCCTCTCCTCACGGTTGCCAATAAGGAACCCAGCTTCTGGCGGACCCCGCTGCGGCAGAGAGGACGGCCCTCGCTGCGGCAAAGGGCTCACTCCTTTTCTCCACCTCCCCTTTCCTCCCTCGCCTGCCGCAGACCCCAGCCCCAGCTCCGGGACCGGGTGTCTGCTGCCAGGACCCTGGCCACCACCTCTCAGAGTCGCCTGATCAGCTGCATCCGGACGGGGAAGCCGGACAGCGGCGGGCTCTGTCCTCGGTGCTGGAACGCGTACCTGATTCACCACGTCCATGTCTGCCAGCAGCAGCATCAGCAATGCGGGGGGCGGGAGGCGCCTGCTAACAAGGGCGGGCGCGGGGCGCGGCGGGGGCGGCGCGCGATCGTCGGAACAGCCTAGGCGGCCGCGGCTCCGCCCCTCGCGCCCCCGCCCCACTCGTCGCGCGCGCCTGCATACAGCCGGCCGAACCTCAATCTCGCCAGGCGCCATTCCAGTCCTAAGGCTGGGGCCGCGAGAGCGCTCCGGGAAGATCGGTGTCTCTGAAAACACAGCCCAGGGTCTGGGGCGAGGAGGACCGGTCGGTCCTACGGTATGACGTTTTTGCCAGGCCTTTTACTGAGTTTGTTGAATGTGTTCACTCATTTAATCATTACAGCAGCCCTATGTGGTAGGAACTATTAGCCCCATTTTTACGGATGAGGAAAATGAGTCCCCAGAGAGGTGAAGCTATTTGCACAAGGTCGCCCAGCTAGTAATTGGCAGTGCCCAAAGTCCCTGCGATTTAAACATAGTGCAAGGTCTTAAAAACCCCTCCCTCCCCCTCCAACCATCTCCCCTATTAATCTCTTTCCTTTTAGTCATATTTTTGTCTGCTCCTACTCTACCCTTTATATCCTGTTTATTCCTCAGCCCTCTTAATTGGACTATCCCTCTTTCATGCTACTAAAACTAGGCCTACAAGGTCAATGGCGATTGCCATGTTGCAAAATCCAGTGGATAAAATACAACTGCAATTTAAGATGTTCAGCCTCATTTATACTTAAAGAAATGCCTACAAAAACTACTAAGATACTGTTTTTTGTCTTTGAGAGTGGTGAATATAAAAAAAAAGTTTGCTGAAGCTCAATATTGGCAGGTTGGCCAGAAACAGGCATTCCCATAAATTACCAGTGGAAGTTAAGTTGGTATAACCTCTAGAGTGGGCAATTTGGCAAAATCTAGCAAACTAACAAATCCATATATTGTTTGGCTCAGTATTTCTACTTCTAGGAATTTAGCTTACAGGTAGATTCATGCATGTGCTAAAAGGTGTATGTACAAGATGATTCACTGCAGCACTGTTTATAATATGAAAGAATGGACACTCCCTAAGTGCTCAATACTGGTGACCTGTTTAAGTAAACTCTGATACAACCACAAAATGGAGTACTATGTAGCTGTCATTAATAATAATATGGAGATATGGAATGATCACCAAGATAGTTAAAGAAGAAATGTAAGATGCCAAACTGTGTGGGAATAGTGTAGAAAGAAAAGGAAAGAATTATATCATAATTATATAGAGAATAGCTAACATCTTAAATTGTGGCTATTCTATGTCAAGCACTGTTGGGATAGCTTCAATATATCACCCATTCAAATACTTACAGCAACCCTATAAGGCAGGTACTAGTATCATCCTCATTTTACATCTTTATAGCTGAATAAACTAAGGTGTAGAGAAGTGAAGGAATTTTCCTAAACTCACACAACTAGTAAGTAATGGAATCAGGATCTGAACCGGGAAGCCTGGCTCTAGCACCTGTTATTCTTAACCACTGTGCTAAGTTAACAGTAAAGCATCCTATACCTGTATAAAACATCTGATAACACAGGTTGCCTCTAGAGGGAAGGGAAATTTTCCACTTTGTACCCCTTTGTGCCTTTTGAATTTTTAAAAAAATGTTTATTTTTGAGAGAGAGAGTGAGCCGGGGAAGGGCAGAGAGGGTGGGAGATAGGATCCAAACTGGGCTCTGAGCTGACAGTAGAGAGCCCCACTTGGGGCACAAACTCAAGAACCTTGAGATCATGACCTGAGCCAAGATAGGACGTTTAATCGACTGAGCCACCCAGGCGCCCCTGTGCCTTTTGAATTTCGAACCATCTGAATGTGTACCTATCTTTTAAACATCCTCCTCTCACAGTCAAATTCACACAAATATGTAATAGATACATCCCATTTAGTGCCTTTTTTGGGGGAAAGAGCATGGGTTTTGGCATTTAATCGCTTCAATTTGAAGACCACTTTTAATATTTATTCCTGTATGACTTCAGACATGTGAAATAGTTTAAAATGGTACTTATAGTGTTGTTGCACTGATTAAACAAGGTAATCACTGTTATGCACTTAGCCCAGGGCCAAATAAATGGTTCATTCTACTTCCTACACATCTCTGGAATCCACTAATTTCTCACCATCTCCTCTGCCACCTCCCCTGGCTAAGGCAACCATGGTTCCTGCCAATTTTAGCATCTCCAGTCTCTTCCCCCTCCCTTCTGTTTTCAGCACAGCCGTCAGAGCATCCATCTAAAATGCAGTTAACTATGTCACTACCCTGCTCATATCTCTCCCATGGCTCCTCACTGCTTTTAGGAAAACTCCCAGGGTTTAGAGATAGGCATTGAAGGGTCTGCATCGTCTGGCCTCAGGTGGCCTCTTCCACCTTACCCCTCAACAGTCTCCTTTCACTCTCTATGTTCTGCCCATGACTTGTTGTGCCCACAATACCCCAGCCTAACCACTCCAAGCCTTGGTTTCAAGGCCTGGTGCAATCCTATATTCTGAGTCCCAGTCTCCAATTCTGGCTTCCCTCAAATTTCAGTCCTGGCTGGATTGACACAAATTATACAAATGAGGAATTACTGCTCTGAGAGCTGGGATGAAACCCTAGGTCAGATCCTCCCCAGTGGTGGCCCCATCCAGGACCTTTCCCACCACTGCCTCCAATTCCTTTGGAGTAGGGTTGACTACCACCTTGGACAAGCCCTGTGTAATGTCTAGGCCAGCTCAGTTTGGTCTGAGGGAAACCCAGAACAGTGAGTGCCTGGCACAAAGTAAATGTCTGATATAGCTTCACTTAGTTAATGAGACCCCAAAGGGTGGGTAATGACTACAGGCAGGGCAAGAAGCAGAAATAGGAGCTCTGGGATCCGGGTGGGAGGAGAGTGGGATACTCTTAGGTGGTCTCAGGAATACCCGGTGGGCCCTGAGTGGGTTCCCCCAGGGTAGGAGCCTCGCCGTTTGCTGTCATCCATGTCTTCTGTTAGGGACTTAGATTTTCTTTCTCTTAGGCAGAAGGTAGGAAGTGGGAGACAGGGTAATCCTGATTTAGCTTCCCGGAAATTCCTGATGCTGTCAGAGGACCCCTCTGCCTGACATATTACATACCACACTAATTCCAACCTCCTGGCCTTTCTACTGGCAGGACTCCATTCTGAGTATTCTTATCCTTTCCATCCCATCTGTCTGTCCTTCCTCAGTTTGACCTGCCTGACCCCTTGTGGCATCTCTGACTTCCCCCCACTCCTCGTCTAAGCCCCCACACATCCTCTCTCCTCCTTCCTCCATCTCTGTCTGGTCCCCTTCCCCTCCCCCACCACCTCCACTCAGTCTCCAGCTTTTTTTGGCTTCTGTCTCTTCTTCCTCCTCCTCCCTCCTTCCCTGACGCTGAATAATCAGGCCTGGCTGTCCTGGTTTCTGGAAATACTCGTGTGTGGGCAGTGGCTCGGGGCTGAAGCAGGAGATGGATAGCTGGGGGGCCGCTGGATAGCCCCAGGCCCCCAGTGCAAAGACATCAAAATCCAGGGGTGTAGTCCATGCCTGTCTCCCTCTGGGGAAGGGAGAGCAGGAGGTTTATTGAGCAGTGGAGGACAGACGGGAATTCAGAGGGCATGGACACAGGCCATTTCGTCTCCCAGGTCCTCCTCATCTAAGCGAGAGAGGATGGATTCCTCATCACTATAGAGTGAGCTGGTCCCCTGTGCCAGCAGATCACTGGCAGCACTGTCCATCTCGTCCAGTGTCAGGCGACACGCATCTGCAATCTCCTGCTTGGCCAGGGCCACAAAGCGTGGGTCTCGGGCAAAGAGGCCCAGGCCCTCAGAGATGAGCACCTGGGGGCACAGATGGGATCAGAGTTGACAGAGAGCACAACATGGAGCCAAAGCAGTGTGCACAGAGGGGTCAGTGTAGATAGATGATGCATGCATGAAGGTGTGCAGGGTAGTCACTGGGGACGGTCACACACACATCATGCTGAGCAGTCACAGAGCAAGGGGATAGACAGTTACATGCATAACACAGAGACTGAGGGCCTCTGTTCCCTCCTTCCCAAGCTCCCACTTCCTCCCCTTCTCCCCCATCCCTCTTGCCCACAGCCCTGCTGGACTCACAGCCTCCACCAGGCTGTCGGCACTGCCCCTCTTGCCATGGCTGGAGTCTGAGTGGGTTCCAGGCACATGCAGACAGGTGAAGGTGCGCAGTGGACCACTGGATTTGCCGAGGTACCCCTCCCCCGCTGCACCCTCCTCCACCAATAACAGTGGGGCATATAGGAGCCGACCCCGCTGAGGAGGGGTTGCCCAGGAACCCTGGACCAGAATAAACATCAGGGGGATAATTATAGATGGGTGACGTGTGAAAGTTTAGGACTCAGCCCTGTGCCTACATCTTACCACCCCCACCCCTGCAAATACAGCTGGAGTCAAACTGAATGCATATAAATCAGACTTGAGTTTATTTAAGAGCATAGAAGACCTGGGTTTAAATATGAGCTTTGCCACTTACTAGCTGTGTGATCTGGGGTAAACTTCTCTGAGCCTCAGTTTCCTCATCTGTAAACTGGAACTAACCTATGTCACAGGTACAGTGAGGGTTTTGTGAATTCATACATGCCCCATTCCTCAGAAGATGTAGTGTGTTTGATAAATTCAGCCTAGGATGACTCTACCCTTCCAGACCTTAGCACCCTATTCCCCCATCTCACCTGCGCCCTGCTGGGGCCCGAGTTGCGCCCACGATGATAGGTGCCTGGGATGGGTAAATCTTCACAACTGCCCTGGCGCCGCAGACACTGGATAGTGAAGGAAGGCTTCCGACCTGGGGGTAGGGAAAGGCAGAGGGGGCGAAGAAGAATTTCAATGCCACCCCAGCCCTCTGCCTTGCTGGCCCTTGTGGGGCCCCCAGCACCCATGCCCGCTCTCACCTGCAGGTGTGGGGGGCAGCAGACGGCGGCGTGGTGCATTGTGGCCATCCACATATCTCTGGGGTCTGTGAGGTGGCAAAAGGATGGGGCGCAGGGGAGTCCCTGCCTGCTCATCTAGGTAGGAGAGCCTGTGCGGGAAAGAGGGCTGGGGGTGAGCTCAGGCTTGGGAATGGGTGATGGGGTTCCATTAGTTCTGCCCTCCTGCACATGGCTAATGGGCTCATCCTACATGTCATGGCCAGAGTCCTTGGCGGGGACTTCCTCTTCCTCGTTCTGATTCTCTTGCTCTTTGGTTCCCTTGGGCTGAGAACTTTCTTCTTCTGGAATGGTGAAAATGAACCCCCCAGAGCTTCTCCTGGGGAAAGTGAAGCAAGTTAGACAGACCAGATCCACCAGCCCCCCACCCCCCAGTATGTGGCCCTGCACTGCTGGTTCCTTCTTGTTCTGTGCCCCATCCCTACAGTAGGATTTTATTTATTTATTTATTTATTTATTTATTTATTTATTTATTTAACGTTTATTTATTTTTGAGACAGAGAGAGACAGAGCATGAACGGGGGAGGGTCAGAGAGAGGGAGACACAGAATCTGAAACAGGCTCCGGGCTCTGAGCTGTCAGCACAGAGCCTGACGCGGGGCTTGAACTCACTGACTGCGAGATCATGACCTGAGCCAAAGTCGGCTGCTTAACCGACTGAGCCACCCAGGCGCCCCAGTTTTTTTTTTTTTTTAAATTGGGAAAACTCACATACCAGAAAATTAACCTGTCATCATTTTAAAATGAACATGGGCTTTCTTTTAATACATATTTCTCATGGGAAGGACACAACATTTAAAAAAAAAATCAAAGTTGGCCTGTTGAAGAGACACCTTCAACACAAGAACTGGGGGTGTGTTGGGAGAGGTGAGGAGGAGGCTGTCAAAGTGACAGCTAGGTGTGACTTCATTTCATTCTTTCATTATCCCCGTGATATAAGTGCTATTATTATCCCCCTTTTACAGGTGACAAAATTGAGGACCATGGAAGTTCCACATTATGTGCTTCTTTTGTTTGTGTTTGTTTTTGTTTTTTTTTTAAGTAGGCTTTATGCCCAGTGTGAAGTCCAATGTGGGGCTTGAACTCATGACCCTGAGATCAAGACCCTAGCTGAGATCAAGAGTCAGATGCTGAACCATCCAGGCGCCCCTATGTGTTCTTTGTATTAAACCTTTGCATTGCCTTTCTCATATGAATCTCTTCTTATCCTCTATTCCCATCCGAGCCCTTGAGTCCCTTCCATCCTTCCCAAATTTCCATTCAAAGGCCCTCTTGCTCCTGAATTATCTCCATGTATTGGCTAGTCCCTGCCTTCCCTTGCAATATCCCACCAGACCCTTGACCATACCTGTGGCCATGGGATCCAGCCTGGGGCACACTGGACTGTCTGGAATTGGGAGTCCCCCCATCATCGTCACTGGGCCCAAGGGAGAGTGAATCTGGAAGTCTGTCCCCGACAGGCAGAGATACAGAAATCACAGAACTCCGGCGAGATGGGGGCTGGGAGCCCGTTGGGGCCTGTGGAAGTCACAGGATTGAATGTTGCCATTCATGTTATCATATCTAAGTCACTTGGAGTTTATCTCCAATGACCTTACTAGGGGCTGAATCTGGGTCTCACCCTCCAACAGTGGATGGTAGGTATCAAATAATACCTGTTTGCCTGTTTTGGGGGGAGTACTTCTCTGGGGGCCTCCCTTCCCCCAGAGGCAGTGTCAAAGTTACCTAAGGAATTGAAGAACTATTTCTACAATCAAATTCCCAGGGGAGTGAAAACTTGTCCTCACTGTGTATGTTTCTGGATCCTTCTTATCTTCCTCTTCCTCTCCCTCCTGCCCCTCTTCCTCCTCCTCTTCATCTGTGTCACAGGTGAGGGCCTGCCGGATCTCAGGACCCAAGTTCTGTAGGCTCCTTAGACCAGCCTGTGGGGGTGAAAAAATGGGGAAGGAAGGCAGCCCAGGGTCTAAATTTCCCTGTCCATGAGCCTGCTTCCTGTGCAGGAGTGTGGGGTGGGGGAAGGGGTCCCTCAGCCACCACTGACCCTCTGAGACCTGGAGCCTCAGTTTCCTCATCTGTGACATGGGTTCTGTGAGATCAAGAGGGCAGTCATCCTTAGCCACAGTCCTCCACATACTCCCACCCACGCACCCAGGCCCCTCTAAAGACCTGAAGAGCAGAGGAAGTGCTTGAGGGGGCCTCGCTCCCTAGTAGCCCCTTCTCCTTCCTCCGCCTGAATTTGCGGAAATAGTCCTGGATCAGAAATGTGGCGTAGAATTTGCCCACGGTGACCTCTTCCTCTGGGGGCAAGGGAGAAAAGTCAAGGTCACACAGGGGTCTCCCGTTACCCCCCTACCCAGAGCATAGGCTCCCCTTCGCCCCCCTCCATCCAGTGCTAGTTTTGTGATGGTGAGCAATCCTTTGACATTTGGGCGGGCTCAAGGAATTGGGGTGGAGCTAGCTCACCGTCAGCAGGGGGGATGACTTCATCTAGCAGCTTCTGCTTCATCCGCTTCCAGATCTTTTTGATGACAATCCGCAGCTCCTGATTGGCTTGTTCCAGGTTCCCTGCATCGGGAGAGGATGTGGGGCCTGAGCCAATAGGAAGAGCCCTTCACAGCCACTCCCTCCCTGTTGGAAGGGGCTTCACCAGCTTCTACCGCAGTCACACACCGCCCCCATTGAACTGGTGGGAAAACAGGCCTGGAGAAGCCAAAGTCACTCATTTCGAGGTTCAGAGACAGGAGCCAGGCCCATCACTCAATGAGTGATCCCTGCACCCTCCCCAGGGACTCTCCTGCTCTTGTCCTTTCTCCATCCCTCCCATGCACCTTCTGTCTTGATCTTCAAGGATGTCCGAACCAGGGCAAAGAGTGTGGCATTGAATGTCACTGTCCCATCTGAGTTGAGGGGCATGTTCATCGCCACAAGTCTCTACACACACCAGGGACGTAGAACTCACTTTGAGCAAATGCCAGGGATGAAGGCACTGGATGCCCAGGGGCAGAAACCTTTAAGGATAAAGCAAAACACACCCTCCCCACCCAAAGCACACCCCTGCCCACCCTTGCCGTGTGATGGACAGCCCTCTCAGAGGTGGGGGGTGGGTGGGTGCACAGACCTTGCAGGCCACTCGGTGTGGGCACAGCTTCCCAAATCCCAAGGGGGGCTGGATCCGTCTCAGCAGGGCAACCACGTCCAGGTGCTTGATGCGGCCCCTGGGGCAGGTGGGGTGGGTAGGAGGCACCGCTGGATTGGAGATAACCCCTCCAGCCCTTTCTGAAGACTCCACCAGCTTATAAATACCTCCCCCACCAACACCCCAGAGCCAACCCTATCTATGGTAGTTGGGGAAGACAGAGAACAGAAGCAGTGGAAACTTGGGGCATCTATTGACTAGGTAATGGGAGGTACAGGTCAGAGGTTCTGTGTCTGGGGGAATGGGTGGGGCAGTGCACTGTCCCCTGCAATCCCAGTTATGTGGATACATGTCATACTTGGCTCCAGGGTCATATTCAGACCAGATCCTCTTGAATTCATCGAGGTGATGTGGGCCCAGGATGGACCAATCTCTGGTTAGATAATCAAAGTTGTCCATGATGACAGCCACAAAGAGATTTATGATCTGTGGGCCAGCGAATAGTGGGGGTTAGGTGAAGGGCAGAGTAGGGTGTTGGGGGTTGGTGGGATGCTGAGGTAAACTTATGGTTACTGGGTCACGAGTTCCTGGGTTGATCTTGTCAGATCAGCCCTTTCACCTACTCTGAAGATCTGGGCTCCCCACCTCCTCCCCAGACCCTTCAGGGACAGCCCCCATGGCAATGGTGGTGGTTGTGGGGAAACAGTCCTCACCAGGAAGGCACAGAGCATGAAGAAACTGATAAAATAGGCGATGGCAAAATTGCTGCCACAGGTAAACTCCTCACCAGGGCTGATGTCAGACTCAGGGTCACACCGACTCCCAGGAAGGCTGGCAAGCATTATCTCCTGCCATGCCTCACCGGTGGCACACCTGGGGGGTCACACAAGGGGCCATCCTTGAGGGGAGGCTATGAAGTCATGGCAAGTGGCATTGTGGGGGCTGGAGGGGTGAGGAGATGATCCACTTCTTGCCAGGGGCTGTATCTGGCACAGATAGCATTTCAGTATTTTATTTTATTTTTTTAAGTTTTTAAAAAAAATTTATTTTTGAGAGAAAGAGCGAGAGAGATGAAAGAAAGAGAGCAAGTGCACAAAGCAGGGGATGGGCAGAGAGAGAGGAAGAGAACAAATCCCAAGCAGGCTCTGCATTGTTAGCACGGAGCCCAATGTGGGGCTCAAACCCATGAACCATGAGATCATGACCTGAGCTGATGTCAGACACTTAACCGACTGAGACACCCAAGGGCCCCAGGATTTAGATATTTTAGAAGCTGGTGTGGCCAAGATGATGACAGTCATGTTCGTGTTTTACTGATGGGGTACTGAGGCCTAAGAAAAGGATACATCTTACAGCCAGAAAAAGGATGGCTGAGGCTAGATTATTATACAAAATTCTTCAAATCACAGCCAGAAAAGACCTCAGGCAAAATGCAGCCCCATGCTGCCCTGTTATTTCTACACCTCAGGCAGTCCAGGGCCCAGACAAGGGTATGTGAGCACCCAAGGGCATGCTGGGGACCAAGGTGGCAGTGGAGGGGGGTAGATGTCACCTGAACAAAAGTAGCACAGCCTGTGGAAAGGTCTGAAAATTGTTGTTTCGGTTGATTTGTGTGCCATCTTGAAGAGCCACTTTACCAAACATCTGTGGGCACACAGGGCATGTGTCAGAGGGGCGAACCCATGCCCCTACAAGTTGTCACTCATTTCACAACTTCTAATACTCAAAGGATCCTCACAACCCTGATGTGCAGTCACTGCACATCCCATTTCACAGGTGTGTGGACTGACTCAGCATCATCCAGCTTGTATTTCAACCCACCACCCTCATTGTATATGAATTCTTACCCAACACCCCTCAGCAGAAGTGTGCCTGAGGGATGCTACCTAGGGTCCCCACTTGCCTGCATCCCAATGACTGCATAAATAAAGAATATCATCGCGATGAGAAGAGCCACATAGGGCAAGGCCTATAGGGGTGGAGAGGAGGATAGATATTCAGGTCCAGGCAGAGAACTATAAGCCCCAGAATACACTGCTTCCTCAAGTCTGGGCTTGATGAGAGATGTGGCCCATCCCCAAAGTTCCCATGACTACCAGTGTCTCCCAAATGTGGACACGGTACTAAATACAATAGAATAAGGTTAGTGAGGCCAAGGTATGTTGGGAATTGGGAGCCTAGAAAAGAGAGAAAACCGGAAATGGTAAATTGCAGATGGATATGGCACACTGGGAGATGCAGTTCAGGTTGAGAGGTATGAGATGTGGGTGAGGGGTGGTCAAAGGGACGGGAGCTTACCTGGAAGGACTTGATGAATGTCCAGAGCAATGTGCGGATTCCTTCACCTTTACTGAGAAGCTTCACTAGCCGCATGACTCGGAAGAGGCGAAAGAAGGTGATGGAAATGCGAGAACTGTCTTCAGAGCTCTGAGGTTGAGGGTGTGGTGGGTATGATCAGTCTACAGTTTCCCCAGTCACCTCCCTATCTCATTCTTTGGCCCTCCCAGCCCCCAAATCCCTCAGAACTCAGGCCCCAGGGTAGTCAGAGGACATTTCTAAGGACTTTTAAGAAGCAAGGAAGGGCAGGTAGGTGTGGAAAGAAGCATAGAGTCCCTGTTGTGAGGTGGGGGTACCTCGCCAAGGTGGCCACCATTCTGAAGGGAGATACAGCCAAGACAGAGGTGACAGAGGATATGATGAGATCACAGCCCAAATGAACATAGGAGAAATGATGTAGCAGATATAGGGGATAATGGATGGTAGAGTCATTATTCAAGGGATTATGGAGAAGGTTATGTGGCAGTGGGTCAAGATGGTTGTGGGAAAAGTTGGCAGTGAGGGTGGAAGGGAAAGAAGAAGGTACAGGAAATGATGGAAGAGAGACAATGGAGCCAATGGAGGAAATGATGGAGCCAGTGGTTTCATGAGATGATGGAGTTGAGAGAACCGATGGAGGACCCAATGGAGAAGCCAGCGATGAAGATATGGAACAAGCAGCATTGTCAATTGAGGTGATAGAACCATGGAGGAGATGATGGAGCCAATGGTACAGTCATTGGTGATGACAGAGCCGTGAAAGACCCAGTGTCGGAGACAATGGAGTCAGTGGTGGAAATGGAGCCAATGAAGTAGTCAGAAGAGATGGCAGGAGTTGGTGGAGATGATGGAGCCAATGGAAGGGAATGTAGAGGCAATAGAGGAAATAACATAAATAAAAAGAGAGTCATTTTAGGATATGACAGAGCCAGAGGATAGGTTGCAAATGGAATAAGGGAGTTGGTGGAGGGGGACTTTGGCTAAACCTGATAGGGACTCAGGAGATATAGAGCTAGAATGAAGAGCACTGAGTCTTCAGGAGTAGGATGGAGGTGAGTGAGGCACCTACTCATGTGAAAGAAAGACCTGGGGTTGAGGCGGGGGAAGGTTGGTAGGGGAAAGGTGGGTTAGTGGAGAGGCCAGTCCTTACATTGACTTCAGTGACGGCAATGTCCACTACGCTGCCCACCACAATAAGAGCATCAAATGTGTTCCAGGCATCAGCAAAGTAATGCTGTAGGCAGGAAAAAAGTAGAGCCCTGTCTTCTCAGAGCTAGCATAGGGGACCAATAGTGGTAGGGGACATTGGGGAGGCAGGGCCCAGCTTGGACCACATGATAGGCCTGCATATGGACCCCTCTCACACCATGGTCTCAAGAGTCCTTGGTTCCTGTTCCCTGCCACCTCCCCCAAGAGCTCTGCAGTGAGCTCCACCCTAAGGAATTCACCCACTGCAGGAGATTCTAAGGCTCGCAGGAGGCACCTTGGGTTTGAAGGCAATGATTTTGAGCACCATCTCAACAGTGAAAAGGCCAGTGAAGACCATGTTGAGGATGTCCATGGCGTAGTTAAAGGGAGCAGTCTGTTCATAGTGCTGGAGGAGAAAGTCAGGTGTGAGTACAGAGCCTGAGGCAGAGACCTCCCCACCCACAACAAAATGTTTTCTGGCTTGGACTGAGGTGAGTCTGGAGATGAGATAGCATGATGGGTTGGCCAAATCCCTCACACTGTTTCTCAATAAGGATATTGGAAAGCCCAGCTCTTGATCTCCTGGCTTTCCTTGCATCTACTTCTGACTAAGAAAGAAACAGAAGTCTGCTGCTAAGTAGTTTCCATGAAAACTATTTTTGCTTTCCAATAAAAGGCTCAAATGAGGAGAGCCCCGGGTACAACCTTCCCTCATTTTTCCTGCCTTGAATGCAGTTTTGATGTCTAGAGCTGTGGCAGTTATCTTGTGATAATGAAGCAACAATCATGAGAATGAAAGCCAACTTGCTAAGAATGGTGGAGGAGAAAGAGCCTGGATACCTGATGAACCATAATCAAACAGCCCACCTCTACACTTCTTGTTATGTGAGGTAGCTATCATACATTGTTGACTCCACTATGCACATCTTTTCACATTTAGAACCTCTGACACTGGGGTACATTTCACAATCAATGGCAACTTACAATGGCCATCTGCCATTTCCCCTATATTCTTACATCTCTTAAGTCAGGATGCAACTGACAATTATTGGCCTTAGATGTGAAGAAATGTGGCAAATATTTTTATAGCTTAATCTCTGTCAGCTGGGGGTTTTGCACTTGCAGCCTAAAGCATTCCTAATGTTTCCCAGGGGGCTGTGTGGACAGAATAGGGTCCAGTGTCTGGCAGGAGTCAGGGTGGGGGAGATCAGACCTGCATGGCTAGAGCAACGGTGTTGAGCAGGATGAGCAGGAACATGAGATACTCGAAGGCAGCAGAGTTCACAGCTGCCCACACGCGATACTGATGTGGGTTCTTGGGGATGTAGCGGCGGAGTGGCTGGGCCTTGAGGGCATACTCCACACACTGGCGCTGCATATGGGTGCAGGGCATGAGTGAGCTTGGTATCTCAAGGCAAGGAGGTGGGGAGGGGTTGGTGGCCATAGGTCAGGGGTCAGAGGTCACCTGGTTCTTGTCCAGCTCACAGTTTTGGTACTCTTGCTCGCCCTGGGCACGGAAAGTAATGATGACAAAGCCCACAAAGATGTTCATCATGAAGAATGCAATGATGATGATGTAGACAATGAAGAACACTGAGATCTCCACGTGGTAATTATAGATAGGGCCCTTGTCCTCTGCGTTTGCATCGATGGCCTTGTATAATAGACTGGGGAGCCAATGGCGGTAGATGAGGAGATATCCCAGCCCCCTTCCAGACATGCCCCCAGATACCTCATAACAAACACTCCAGAATCTCCTGCTTGGCATCCCAAAGACCCCCAAATCCCATGACCTAACCACCTTAGACCTCCACACATACCCCAAGAGACCCCCACCTGACCTCAAAGACCCCCAATTCCCTGTCTCAGCCCTCCAGAGACCTAGAGATCCCCATACAACCCTCTAGAGAATCCCTACCCTGGTCCTCCAAGACCCCCAAATCCCTTAAGTTACCACATATCCCTAAATATCCTTCTCCAGCCACCAGGAAATCCCCATGCAGCATCCCAGAACTCCTCCACAAGCCCCCAAAGATCTCTAAATCCTGTCCCATAAACTTGGATTCCTTGCTCCATCTCCCCCAAAGATCTTCAACTAGTACCCCTAAAGACTTGTACATCTCTCTGGAAACCCCTGAATCTCCAGCTCCATCTCCTCTGAGACCTCCCCCAGTGTCCCCTCCAGACCTCTACCTAGTCCCCCCCAAAATCCCACACCCAGTCCTCTCTAGACTTCCACCTAGCTCCTCAGAGACCTATACCCAATTCCTGGAGACACCCCTTACCCAGTTCCCAAAGCATCCCCAGCCAACTTCTGGAGGACCCCCAGCCAGTTCTTTGATATGCCCACCAGTCCCCCCAAAACCCTATCCAGTCTCAAGAGACCTTTATCACATCCCAAGGTACCTTCCCACCCATCCCAAGAAGACCCTAGCATAGACTCCTGCCCTGTTCCCTGCCCATTCCTGGGGCCCTGCTCCTCACGCAGGCCAGCCTTCGAAGGTGGAGACAGTGAACAAGGCCATCATGGCTGAAAGGACATTGTCAAAGTTGAAATCGCTGTTGACCCAGAGCCGCTCCCGGACGAGGGGCCGTGATACATCTCCATCAGGGTAGACCAGGAAGGAGCCCCTGTGGATGTTGCAGACAGGCTGGTTGGGTGAGGAGGGGTGGGGATCTGGGGAAAGGGGACTGAGGCGTAGAGCATGGAAGTAACAGGGCAGAGTGGTAGAGTTGGATATCCTGTCCCCCATTTACTGGCTGGGTGACCTTGGGTATTTAACCTCTCTGTGCTTCAGTTTTCCCTATCTATGAATTAAGGATAATACAACATATTTCCTGACTTGTTACAAGGATTAATTAAGTCACTCAATGAGAATAGTGTCTGGCATTGGTACCATATATATTAGCTATCATCACCATTATAATCATCACCACCCCCAAGAAAAAGTAATACTAATAATCAACATTTATCAGCACTAAATATGCCAGGCACTGTGCTTGGCTTTACATGTAGTAACTTTACATTGTAGTACACTCTCCATGTAGTAACTCACTTACTCCTCACCACCACCTTGTGAGATCTGCACTCTTTTTATCCCCATTTTTCAGTTAATTAAAATGGGATTCACCAAGGCTGAGAAATGTACCCATGTCTCATGAGATGAATTTGAACCAGGAATGCCTGACTTCAAAGCCCATGCTTTTAACCACTACCCTCTACAGTAATCTGGAGATGGAAGCCTGGGATTTGGTGGCAGTGATGGTGGGTGGGGGGAGTATTTGGAGATTTCTGGGGAGTCTGGAGTAGAATGTAGGTAACTCTGGAGAATATGGAGAGGGGTTTGGGGGAGGTATTGGGGGGTTTCTTAGGGGTTGGTGAGATATGAGGGCCTCTTCAGCTCTTGGGAAAGTTCTGGGGGTATATCTTGGGGCCTTGGGGAATTCACGGTGTTTGGGGGGCCTTGATAAAACTTGAGGGAGTCTCGGCAGTTCTTAGGAGGAAGCTCTAAGGATTCCAGGGGCCTTGGTGAGATCTAGGGGCCTCTTTGGCTTTTAGTAGGGGTCAAGAGCTCCACAAAAGGCAAGGTTTTGAGCACTCACTTGCATTCTTGGGGGGTGTGTTTGGCTTCATCAGTGCAACTGTAGAATTTCCCCTGTATGGAAGATATTTGTCAGGCAGGTTCACCCTTTACTCCCCACCTTGACCCATGCCTGGGCCTCCTTCCAGTGTTTCCTCCCACCTTGAAGAGCTGCACGCCAATGCAGGCAAACATGAATTGCAGGAGTGTGGTCACAATCATGATATTCCCGATGGTCCGGATAGCCACGAACACACACTGCACCACGTGCTGCAGGCACCCACAAATATGGCTAACAAACACTGCAGGCCACAGCAGCCTGGGGTAGGGATTCTGGGTGTAGATGGGGCTCAGGGACTTGGGCCGGGGACATCTGGTCATGGATCAGAGATGTGTGGTCAGGGACATATGGTCAAGGGGCAGTGCTACGGGCCAGGGACGTGTGGGCACCAACGAGGAATAAGTGTTTACCAGGAAGGGATATGTGGTCACATTTCAGGAACTTGTATCAGAGAAATGTGGCCATTGGTAAGGGATTTATAGTCACTTGTAAGGGACATGGGTGAGGCCACATGATCAGTGGTCAGGGATGTGTGGTTACATATTGGGTCCAGGCTGTGTGGTCATGCACCAGTGCAAACGGTCAGTCTGATTAGAGATCTTGGCCCTTGCAGTGGGGCAGGGCATGGGTCCTGTGGATTTGGGTGGGGCTGGGTTACCTTGAGTCCTTTGGCCCTGTTGATGGCTCGGAGAGGCCTCAGTACTCGGAGGACTCTCAGAATCTTCACCACTGAGATGGCACTGGAGCTGGGGAGGGGTCAGTCCTCAGGCCCTGGCCCAGGCTTAGCTTCCATTCTGGGAGGACTGGAGTGGGCAGGGGGTAGGGAGAGTCACTCACTGGATACCAAAGGAGATGAGGGACACGCTGACCACCAGCAGATCCAACAGGTTGAACCAGCTACGGCAGAAAGAGCCTCGGTGCAGGAAGGCCCCAAACACTGTCATCTGTGGAAGGGTAGAGAGACATCAGGCTAGATTCCAGGTGTGGGGATAGAGAGGGGAGGAGAGTATGGAAACAGGAGAGGTGGGCTGCAGGGGTGGGTGCAGAGTGGATTGGGGCAACTGGGGGTACGACTGGGGGCTTGTTAGTTACCTTTAGTAAAATCTCCACAGTGAAAATGGAGGTGAAAGCATAATCGAAGTACCCTAGAATCTGGCGGGCAAGAGAGAGGCAAAGCCACTGAGTCATAACTGGGGGGAAT